GCCGCCGATGTCCGCAGGATATCTCAGTTTAAGTGCCCTATGAACAAAAAGAGGGACTCCCCCTTTCCATTTTTTTGATTTGTCCAAATTCTCTTCCAATAATACGGCCGCTGGGGGCACCACTTTCAAGGACGCCTTTGCCTCCTCTATCATGCCCCAAATCTCCCGCGTACCCGGGCCAGTTCTCACAACAGTCAGCAATGATCGGGCATTTAAAAATTTTTCCGGCACTTCCACATCAACGCCATTGATGTGCCGGAAATTCCATAGAACTTTTAGGGGCTTCGGATTTTTTGTTTGCCCTAAGACCCTTTCTTCCTGTTCCCGGGATACGCGGCAGACGTCTTCCCCTGGGAGATATGGTGGCTTAATTTTCTTTTTTCTTTTTTTCAATATTTGCCTGTGAATCGGGGCTTCTATTTCTTTTCTTTTGAGGAGATTGAATAGGTGTTGAAATAGGTGTGGCTTTGGGTGTTGCGGAGAGTGTCATGCCAGAAGGCGTCTTCACAGGAGAAGGTTTTCTTGAAGAATAATATTTAAACGGAGATTTTGACAATGATTTGGGCGGAGGTGGTTTGGTGAAAGTCTTTTTGGTTGATGAAGGGGAAGACGGGGCAGAGGATAGGGGGCTCGGTGCCCCCAGCGATTTTTGATTTTTAGCCCGCTTTCAAGCAAATTTCTCTTTCAACTTTTTTAGGTCTAAAATTTTCTGCCAGCTAGGCTCATTCAATTTTTGCGTACTTGTTGCATTTTTTTCGTACGACGCCGAGGCGTCGCCCTCAGAGCTGGTAGAGGGAATGGGGCTGTAGGTGTTTTTATCCTCGGGGTCATGATGGGACAGAGGCCCCGCTGTTTGGATCTTCCCTTTGCCCCTAGCTACGAGGCGCCATTCCCCTTCTTCCTTTTCCTTATCCACACTTGTGGAAGGCGTCAGTTTTGGGGGTAATGTGGGTAAGGACCCAACCGAGGGATTATCCCCACTGGCCCGCTTCGCAGTTAGGCCCACTACAGGCGCCGCGGATTTGACAGTCTCGGCCAAAGGGGGATTTTGGTCGCCAGCGACCGGAACTCCAGGGGCCTTCTTCCTTGGGCAGAAGGAGGAAAGGTGACCAGTCTCTCCACACCTCCAGCAAGTAGGTTTCCTCCCGGTCACAATGACCGGCATTTTCCGGTCGCCTAAATCCAAACAGTTGGGGATTGACTTGAAGGCCTTCTGATCTAACATAATATCGAAAGTCCATCCCCCGTTCAAATTGTCGGAGAGAGCCCCTAAAATCTGGCCGTGCTGCATAAAAAATGCAGCCAGGTATTCTCCCGATATTTGAGGAAGGACCTCAAATACGGCCACCCTGGTACTTCTCCGACCCTCATATTCAGTCCTTTGAATTAGGTCTTTCGTTATCAATTCTCTTTTCGCCATTGCTAGGCAATCTTCTGGCGTGGGCGGCAGTACGTCACACATGAAAAACCCAGCACCTTTAATAACTCTTTGGGGTTTTATACACAGGGACAAAAGTGATTTAATGACTATGTCTTTCGTGGAGCGACAAATTTGTAATGGCTTGTGGTCTGTCTGTAGATTAAAATGTCGACCATAGATATAGAGGTGGAACTTCGTGACTGCGAATATAATTCCAAGCGCCTCTTTCTCAATCTGCGAATAATTTTTTTCCGCAGGAAGCAAAGCTCTCGACGCATGAACTATTCGTTTTACTGTTCCACCAGTCATTTTATGAAGAATGCATGCCCCTAGGCCATACGAACTAGCGTCGCTGGTAACAATGATTTCCAAGTTCGGGTCGTAGTGTGTAAGGAATAAGTCTTACGTCAGTATTTTCTTTATTTTTTTCAAATGCCTTCTGGCATGCTGCTGTCCAAATCCACGGCTTGTCTTTCTTTAATGGTTCATTAAGAGGGTCACGCAGATGACGCATATTTGGTATGAATGCCTGGTAATAATTTGCTAGGCCAAGGAATCTCTGCAACGAAACGGTATATCTTTAATCGCGGCAGCCCGTTCAGGATTTGGTCTTCTGCCATCCTTATCGATTATGTGTCCTAGGTATTTGATTTTTTCCATGAATAAATCACATTTGGTCACTAAGTTTGAAACCGTAGTCTTGAATCTTGGTGAAAACTTTGAGGATATGATCCTTATGTTCGGCTACGTTTTGACTTTTCATCAGGATGTCATCTAAATAAGCCACTGAGAAGTAAAGACCGCTTAGCATAGTATAAACGTTCGAATTTATATAATCCGCGGTGCGTATTTATACACAATAGCTTCGAAAAAAATGTTTCCCCCCATTAAGCTTCGCAAAAATGTCTTCTGGGCCAGGAAGAGGATAATGATAATCCTTCAGAACAGCATTTAATCCTGTCGAAAAATCAGCGCAAACGCGTATGTCTTTCGACTTCTTTTTTACATAAACCGCTGGTGCGGCCCATTCGCTGTACTCTACCTTAGATAGGACACCAGTTTTTTTCTAATCTGTCAAGTTCCTCGTTAATTTGTTCCAATGAGGCAAAAGGCACATTTCGTTTCTTTTTTAACACTGGCTGGACGTTGTCTTGTAGTTCAAGTTTTTCCATCATCTTGATACACCTGCCTAAACCACCAGAAAAAAATTCTGGATAGGCTTCCCTCAGTTCTTTTTTTTTTAGTTTTTCAGCTTCGGCATTCCAATTTTCAATTTTTTGGTAGTAAGAATTTACAGGTAGTCCCAAAGCTGGAATTGTTTCATCCAATCAGCGCGAAATAGGTTGTTAGTATTTTTCAGTACGAAAAATTTTAACTTATTAGTCTTCCCGTTAAACGTTATGTTTGCAATCAATTGTCCCTCGAATTTAATTTTTTCTCCTGTTACTGACCTTGCAATCTTGCTAGATTTTATCATGGTTGGCTTACCCGATCTTTTCCATGTTAGCAAGTTTATTATAGTTAAATCAGAACCCGAATCTAGTTGAAATTCTACACTTTTGTTTAACATTTTTACGTGCACAAATTTCCTGATATTAGCACCGTCTCGTTCGTCCGACCTTGTATTTTTTATGCAGCTATTGGTTTTATTTTTAGATTGGCAATGCGAACTTTTGTGTCCGACTCGGTTACAAATGTAACATTTTTTATTCCGGAACATACGATCTTTGTACCAATGTAGGGCCCCACATCCGTAGCATGGGTTAGAGGGCAACTTGGTTTTTTCATTGTTTCAATTTTAGGAGACTGTTTGTAGCGTGCTTTTTTGACATGAACAATACCCAATTCTTCAATATTTTTAGAATCCTGCTTTAAACTGACGTACATCTGACATTCTTCAGCGATCTTCTGTAGAGTTATATTCGGCTCATTCTCCAATTTGTTTAGGATTCTTCGCCTAATTTCTGCATCTTTTGCTGAAACTAGTCCTTGCACGAATATCAAGCATTTGAAGTTATTCGCACTTAGCTCCGCCAGTCTAAAATCATCGCAGTGCTTGTTTACAATTGACCCAAAAGTGGTGTAGTCTTCCCATTCTTTCCTAGTTAGAGTAAGACATTTCCATCTTTTATGAAAAAAAGAGATGTCTTTGGGCTGAAGAGTTCCGTTAGTAATTCCACTGCTTCGGTGAATGTCAATTCGCTAGTCTTACGGAGCAGAATGTAGTTAACGAATTTTGTGTGCTCATTTGTGCCAAGTTTCCTCAGAAGTAGACGTACTTTTTTCGAGTCACTCCAACTCGCATAATCTGACGTATACAAGTCCTCATACCTCCTGAAGTATGACGCGAAGGTTATGTCTTCCTTGGGATTGTATGAAAAATTCTCTATCGCACTCCAAATGCGAAAAAGAAAATTCGTTTTCGACGGGATTACTACAGTTTGCCAATTCTAACATTTGCTTTTGAAATTCAAGCTGTCTCTCTTGATTTTCCTTCTGGGTTTGCAGTAATAGATTTTCCATTTTTTCCTGTTTTTGTCACTTCTCTTCTTTTTTGGAGTTGTAATTGCTGTGCATTCTGGTATTTTACAAGTTCTAAAAAAATAATTTTGGAATCCGCCATAATAAATCGATTTTCCGTATTTTGAGAGAGTTTTTTTTAATCACGGTGGTTCACGCAAAATCCTCGTAAATCTTCGTCGCCAAGTTGTTGTGGATACTGGCAACGGCAATTTTTTTTGTGTGTGTGTCCCCGTGAAGTGCGAATCCTCATCGCCAAGTTGTGGCCTGTTTAGGGACCAGAAGAAAGACACGGAAGGCGAAGGTAGGTTGAAAAAGTATATTGAAGATACAGTGTAACCCGGATATAAGAGAGTTGTCGGGACCGGAGAAGAAGTCTCTTATATCCGGGTTTCTCTTATATCCGGGTTTGGTCTATTTTGTTTAGGTAAGTATGGGAACACTTTGGGACCAGAGAAAATCTCTCTTATATCCGGGTTTCTCTTATATCCGGGTTACACTGTATATACAAAACAACAGTGTTAGTAATAAGTAGATTAGCACTGCGTTTGTTTACTACTGCCCTCCACTCTACCCGACTCTCGCAGTTTGTATTTATGAGGGGAGGAAGAGTTCATTCTACTTGTAGGAGGGTTTACTTTACCACAACACATTTCAAACACAATAATGAATTGAGGAGAGAAAAAGAATAAGATAGAGTAAGAAGGGTAAAAATACGTAAACAAATAATAATAATAATAGTTGATAGAAAAAGATAGACGATGGACAGAAAAGATAAACAAAACACTTAAGTAAAAAAACAAAAACATGGAAAAAATAAATTACGTACGTTACAACGCAGTGATGTGAGCTTTAAAATTGAAAAAAACTTTTAAATCATCATGAATTAAAAAGTTAACGCTTTAAAAATATTACCCAACACAGAAAAACTTGCAACTCACGCACTGGCCGAGAGGGTTACCCTCGGAATTTTTCAGTTTTTAGAAACGAGAGAGCGTTGTTTTTAAAATTAAAAATATAACTAGTACAACACAAATTATTATTTGAAAAAAAAACTCACTCGATCAAATCCTAAACTGATAGTGGACCTGGAAGTAGAAACAATTCCATAGTGATCATAATCTACCGATGAAGTTGAATCTGCAGACGGTGATATATCAGCCATTTCTGTGCTGCATATGACGGGCTTACGTCACAATTAGAAGACAGATCAGGATCACATGGTTGTATCCCTCCCCCTACAATACCGCTAATTTACATTTCTCATAATCACTATGATATTAAATAACAGATTAAATGCAAGCTGTCAACTGAATTAAAGTAACTGAATTACTCACTATTTAGAAATAAAATGTTAGTCCCCCACAGTTTTTATTGAGAAAAAATAATTTATTTCAGTAAATTAAATAATGAGAAAAAAAAATCAGGGAAATATTGTAAAGCAGTAAGCTTGACTTAAGCTAAAGGAAAATATATTTAGAATTTTGAGAGAGAGTATAAAAAATATTTTTATTTTTTATTGCTTTCAAAACTATGTTACTTTTCTGGAATTTCAAGCTTCATATAAACGAGATTCAAAGATTCTATTGAATGAATCTTCCTGACATCATGATTTTCTCAGTCTAGCAACAAGCAGTTGATTGACTCTTCAACATTTTTGATGGTATACCTACGTGGCTCATTCTGGCAGCCTGGTAATGACATCACAACTCTTTCCACCAATCAACATTGGGCCATTCTGGAAATACCCAGATTAAGGATGAAACCTCCACCAGCCAATTACTGTCTTTAAAGCTGCCATCATGCAAGACCTATTTAAGATTGAAAGTTGTATTAACTCATTAGATGGAGTCGAATATTACTGCCTTCACAACATAGTTTCACTCTGCCTAAACTCCCAGCCCTATGGAAAGAGTGAACAACTCCAGATTCAAACCCAACTTATTACCAGTGATTCCAGAGATAACAAATTTGCAGGTGCATCCAGTTACTAAACCTCGTGGCCCAAGAAACCCCTTCATCCAAATACAACAGCGATATGAGAAGGCCACTTTCATACTATCCCATTTTCTATCTTAGCAACTCTTTGAGTATTTACCCTTTTTATGTAAATTAACAATATTGAATACTAATGCATTTGTTTACATGAGTTCAAGAACTGTTTTTTTTTACATTCATATGGTAATATTGTTCTTCTTTGAAAGTGTGTTTCTACAACTGAATGTTAATTTGATTTATGTTATTTGTAATGGAAAAGAAATGTTTTGATTTTTCACAATATGCATGAATGCAGTCAGCTTTCCTTATTTCATCAATCTTGTTATTGGCTTAAAATTTCATATTTTTGCCACATAGTGCACTAACATTGTGTATACCCAGGATAACCCATAACAGTTTTTTTTTTGCAATAAACTTCTTATAATTCTCTACCTGTGTCATGTGTCATGCTATTGCTGTTACTCTTTTTTTCCCCCATAAGAGAAAAAATTTTCTTTCTCTTATGGCGAGGGGGGAGAGGAGTATTTGAGAGAAATTACCCTTTCAATCCAAATTTTACACAAAATTATTATTATTATTTTGTTTTTCTTTTATGTTAATGATTTCAGCACAAATCCAATGATTTTAAAAACAAAGTGTCTTTAGTTTTTTTTAGGGATAGAACAAAAATGTTCAAATATTATTATTATCATGGAGCAAATAACTGACATTTTATTAACTCATTTTCTTGATTGAAAGGGTTAAGTTAGATTGAATTGTTGATATTTAAAAAGGTTAACTCAATAAATGTGGGATACCAAAGAGAATCAAACTAATTACTGTAGCAATGATCTGCAAAACTCACTTCTCTCCAGTAAAGCAATTTTCCATATTTTCGTGAAATTTTCCTTCCAACACCTATCCCATAATAGTTGTTACATTTAGTGTATGAAATATGTATACAAATGTAACGATTAATATGGGACAGAGATAAAAAGAAAGGCAATTTCATTAAGTTGCTCGGTTGGTGTATAGATTGATGAAATATACAATTATTGTAATGAAAATACATTTTTTCTAATTTTTAATGTGCTGAAACTTATTAAACTAAATTTTAGGCAAAAATGGTAAAACTCAATAATTAATCATCAAATTCCATTTTTAAATGTTAATGTTATAATGATTTTCATTCATAGATTCCTTTGGCTAATATAATAATTGCATTATAAGAGCTTTTTTGAATTATTAATAATGTAATATATTAGTTTTGCACCAAGACTCACCTAGATCAGGCTATGACAAATTCTTCTGTGAGGGATCTAAAATATACCTTTACTAACATCTAGTCAAGTTTGCTCCATGTTAATATGTTGCATAGGTACCTCGACAAGATCACTAAAAAAAAGAGCACAGCGTGATGAAAAAGACACCAAACTTAACAAAAACAAAATTTTATCGTCTAAATGTTTATGTTATTAAGAGGAAAGATCAAAGTATTTTGGGGGTATATTTTTACATTTTTTAATCATTCCTAGCACGTCCGAAATTTTTGTTAAAAATCTTGTTTTTTTGAGTCAGCAAAATTGACAAATGATCGATCATAGCAGCCATTTTTTCCATTTTACAAAAAAATGAAAATCTCTGTTTGAAATTCTTTTAAAAATCAATTATCATTTTTTCAAAATTTATTTTAAGAAAATCAGAAATTATAATGTTTATTTAAAATATTTTGAACCAAGCTTAACTTAGCTTCTGCACCAAAAAGATGTCATTTGAAAAAAAAAAAAAAAGCAGGTCATAATCTTTCGTGTCACTTGACAGGTGATGAATGACATATTGACGAATTACATGAGGATAATTCCTTCTATGGAAGGAGAGAAGTAAAGTTATTTACATTTAAGTGAACAAATTATTTACCTTGTTATTTTTAAGGAAAACTTTCAGCCATCTAATTTTTTTTTTTGTACTTAGCTTTCACCTTTACGTTTATGATGCTTTATGGAAAATATATTATAAAAAATTTAAATAAAACTGTTAAGAGTGAGATTAAATTCCATAAGAAAGGTATCTAATTAATTTATAGGTATCTTTCTTATGAAATTTTATCAGAAGTGTACATAAAATACTATAATTTTATGTACATTTATTACATTTTACTGTGTTATTTGTATTTCCATTCATTTTATTATTAATTTGTACTTTATAATTGCAGAATTGATTATAAATTTAAAATTACATTTTCTTACGTTTTACTGTGGGTCTTCTGATTAGTCAAATGTATCATTTTACAACGAACGTTTTAAAAAAAAATCTAATTTTATTAAGGACTTTAGGTAAATTACAGTTTTTAATTAATTTTTATAATATTTTAACAACTTAAATGTCAAAAAATCAATTATAATTAAAAATAACAAATAATTATATTAAAATTCATTTTTCATCGAAAAAATTTTTTGCAAATTTCAGAAAATATTTTCCATTTTTTTCAGAAAAACATTTAAAAAAGCAATTAAAAGCATTTTTTTGAAATTAAATAATATCTTTGTTTTATTGAGTTTTTGTATGTTACAATTCAGAGCTGATTTTCAGGTGGGGGGGGGGTCCAATTAAAAACAAAAAAAACATGATTTGCATTCCTCAAAGCCTTGTGCTTATTGTAATCACTAAAGTAAACTCGATCGAATTTCTAGAGTTTTCATAAAATTAGTTATGGGGAGGGTAATAAAATATTTCTGCCATGACTTTAATAAAAAAAAAAAAACATATTTATAATAATTTCGATCGTCTGTGAATAGTTTCTGAAAGTTTCATTAACATCCGACAATTATTTTTATTTTTGCTAGCATTTCTAAATGAATGTGTGTCATACAAAAAAAAAAGTGCTAAAAATTGTATGTTATTTTACTAGTTCCGGTGATACAAAGAGAAACAAGAATCAAAATTTAGAATGTTCTAAAAAGAAGGAAAAAATGTAAAAAATAATTAAAATAAACTTTGGTCTTTCCTCGTCATAACATAAACATTTTTAGACGATAAAATTTTGTTTTTGTTAAGTTTGGCGTCATTTTCATCATGCTATATATGCTCTTTTGTTAGCGATCTCGTGGAGGTACCTAAATTTTTGCATAAGTTTTATAGCAGAAAATAGGAAAGGATTAAATGATCAAATTTTAAAATGTGGTGTAATGGTTAGCAAGCTTGTTTTGTTAGATCAATTATGACTGAGTAGTGAGTTCAATCCTCACTGGGTGCTCCATACATTCGACCTTGTGCCACATCTAAGCTACGCTTAAAGTAAATCACTATTTACTATCTCTGTTCACAGGTAAAATGTATCGCGGAAATTTTAGTCTGTTTACTTCCTAATTATATTTTTAGTATGTGATGTGCCACTACGTAAGCATTAAATGAAAGTTTTGACATTTTTTTTTTAATAAATCCTACCAGAATACTAAGGGTTACATAAACAGTTAATTATCTATAATGCCTATAAAAAATAATTCATGACTACTAACATCTTTCTTCCTGATTCTCTATGCATTTTCATTTGTAGAAGAATATCTGTCTACAGGTTTGTATCAAAATGTCGTTGTGGTTGAGAATTTTCAAGGTAATTGAATTCAACATTTTTTAGAAGGAATAAATTTCCTTAATTACATATAATATGTGAGTGTGTATATTGAATACAAATACATGAGAGAAAATATACTTGTGTGTACATCGATAGCTATTTTGCTATGAGGAAATGTATGTGCGGTGTTTGAGATGTGCATGTACATGTAAGTTAAAATTTAATCATCAGCTGATAAAGAGAATTATTTTAAAAAGTTTTTTGCTATCTTTAAAATTTTGTAAAAATATTTATAGGTCTGTTATTGAATTGAAATATACATACATACACATACACACACACACAAATCCATATGCTCACAATTTGAGGCTGGGTAACAGAACACAGATGAAATTTTATTTCTTCTGAGTGATTGTTGTCATGATTCCTCCCCCCACACACATACACACAGAGTAATTAGCTGATAGCTTTATATACATTTTCATGGTTAAAGCCAGCCATGTAATCTTCATGTATGCATAAATCACATGACTAGAAATGCAATTTGTTTTTATTCAACTAAACTGTTGTGTTTTTGAATACACACTATGTGGTGTGGTCAACCTATACAGATGTAT